AGTTACTATTTTAGCACTGTGGCTGTTTTTTGAAAGAATTCATTCAGAACTTTTCTATAAGAGAAATAGAGATTAGCTAATCTTGTCCTTTGTTGTCACCACCATCATCATCAAATAAAATATGTAAGTTTCCTTGTGCCCAGCAGAATCATTGGTGACTAAGAATTTATTTGATTTACTGCAGTCATTCTCATTGGTGTTTCCAAGAATAGCCAGAAATTTAGAAACAGCAATATTTGGAAATCTCTTTCTAGAAATCATGATTAATTGGACCCAAAGCCTGATAATCTCTAATTCTGAGGCCCTCAGAATCAGAATTATACCTAAGAATTCAGTTTAAGTCTGCTCTCCAGTGATTAAACTCCATGTAAAAACGTGCAGACACAGACACACACACACACACAGTCCATTGGCAACATTATTACTGGCACATATATCCTGTTAGGCCTGCCTTGTTTTGCTTTGTTTTGTTTTGTTTTATGTGCTAGCCAACATCAGTAAGGATATTTTAGCTGCAAATCTGGATTCTTGACTTCTCTTGAAAAACCAGAATCTTTACTTCCCTGGGTTTCCATTCCTATAAGACAACCAATGGCTAGTAGTGGTGCATGTGGGCTCAACTCCCCGCAGTCCCTTCCCCTCTTGCAAGTACCCACAGTACACACATTTAGACTGCTTGTGTCATGTAGTTTACCTGACTGATCCCCACACGCATTTTACTTGTAATCCTTAAACAAAAACATGCAGTGTGGGCTACTGAGGAAACACTTGGCTTGGAAACTCAGGGTCTGAGTACTTGTGACTGTAATGTCCCTGGGTCTGTTTCCACATCTGTTCAGTAGGGCTGCATAAACCTCCTTTGATGATTTCCTGTGATAGTGGTGACCTTCAATTGAGAAAGTGCATGTAAAAGCACTTTGAAATGCTGCAAGTGTAAAAATGCATCAATCATATCCATGTGCAAAAAATAGATGTAGTTTGTCAACTAAATTTTTGAGTTCCCTTTGAAATAAGTCAGAGATAGCCTTTGGGAAGAAGAAAATTTGGATTGAGTCTCAAGTCTGGTCTTAAGTCTGAGAAGGGGCCTATTTTGCAAGTAAAAATAAGCTTTGCTATTTGTGTTTGACTTTTGATGCACACCTTTGTTGTAAGAGGAACTGGGTATTTCACACGTTCTTCAGATTACTTACTTCAATACAATGCATTATGTACTGTTAAATTCAGAAAGAGTGCAAAAAGTAACGTGATGACTTTCTGATTAAGAAATTTTAGGACATTTATTAGAGCTGGGAGTAGTCTTTGAGATGATGTTTTACAAACCAGAAAACAGAAGAAGGGAGGACATATGACTTGTGTACTTTTTCAGAGCTATGAAGTTGCAGGGTCAGAACTCAAAGCCAGGGGTTTGGACTCTAGTGTTTTTTCTGCTGCCCCACATTAATGATGAGGCAATTTCTGGTTAGTGGTATGAATTCAATTACTGCATGTTTAGAAAAACAGATTAGGTTAGGAATGTAGGAGGAGGAAAGAAGTGTTAGTAAGGTCTCAATGAATTAGAAAGTGGGTTTAAGGGACAAGAAAAAAAGATTTTGCATCCTTCCGCCACAGGTAATCCCCTTCCCACCCTACCCCTTCGGCCATTCTTTTAAAGCTCGGTTACTGCTTTCACAGTCTCAGAAGTGTCTTGAACTTTTGCATGCCCTTTGATCCTGGGACACTGGTGAGATTGTGTCCTCCGATCATCAGCACGCGAGAGGAGGACAGTTCCTCCAGGAAAATAAAAACGCCCCAAGGCCCCAGTCAGAGCGAAAAAGAACGCTGGAACAAAGTTTCTACTGGAGGCCAAGAAATCCCTCCTCCCCCTCCCGATTCCTGTAACCTGCGAGAGCGTGGGCTTTCTTTCCCCTTTTCCTATAGCCCCAGAGAAGTGTCCAGAGTCCTCACTATTAAGAGGTTTAGGGCCTGAGCTAGGTCGTTCTTCCAAGTGCCTGGCGGTAGGCTGCCTCTAGAATGTCTCTCCTCTCCACCAGCCTTCACTTTTCCCTTTACCTTCTCGGTTCAGGAGGCGCCGAGGCATCTGCTCTCCCCTTCTACCCCGGGGCTCATGGCCCGTTTGGAACTCGGGCTCGGTGCTCCGGAGGAGGCTTTCTGGGGAGGACGGCGGCAGGGCCGGGTCTCCAGTGCCAGTGTCCATTCTCTTGCAGTTGGCCAGAGTTGTTGGCCTATGGAGACGGGTGCCTTTCCCGGGCCCACCCCACGTCTCGCAACGCGTCCTGCCGCCTAGGAGGGGGGCCTCGGAGGCCCGGAGGCAGGCAGGCGGGCAGAATGCGGGCTCCACCAGAGCCGGGCTGCCTGGCTTTGTACTTCCCGGCCCCAGACAGCCGCGCGCTCCCCGCTTCACCCGGCAGCCCCCCGCCGCCGCCGCCTTCCCTAGCGGCGGCTGCAGGATGACGGCGCCGTCTCTGGTTGGACTGTAGCTGCGGCTCAGACGGGACACCAGGGTGGGAGAGTGGGGAGGGAGGGAGTGGGAAGCGGGAGGTCAGCGCGGGGAGGGCGCTCCGGGGACCCGGCGCTGCCCCCTCCAGCAGCAGGAGCTGCACAGCAGCACCACAGCCGCCGCGGCAGCCACAGTGGCCACAGCAGCGCGAGCGCGAGGCTCGCGGCTCAGCGCGGCGGAGAGCGGAGAGCGGAGAGCGGAGGGGCGGCGACGCCAGCCCCAGCCGAGCCGAGCCGAGCCGAGCGCGCAGCCGGGCCGCCGCCGCCGCCGCCGCCTCGCAGATGCCATCACAGCAACAAAGAGCTCGCTGAGCTGAGAGCCGCGGCGAAAGCTCGCCTGGACGCCACCGCGGAGCCCGGGGCAGCGGCAGGAAGCGCGTGGGGACCTCGGGGAGGGGAGGGGGCAGAAGATGGCTCAGAAGAGAAAGCCCCCCAGCAGCAAGGGTGAGTTCCGCTCCTTTCCCACCTCGTCCCCTCCCTCCCATCCGGGCCGCCCCTCGGACCGGCCTGTTTACGTTTAGGCTCCGCCAGGTGGAAGGCTGCTTGCCCAGGAAGAGTTTGCCTTCTCCAGGCGGTGAGGGGACCTCAGGATTGCTGCACCTGCGTTTGCCTCAGGGGACACTCTGCCAGGAGTTTGTCCCCTTTTTATAACCTGGCGAAACCTGGAGACTCTCTCATCCTACCCCTTTCCTACTCTGTGAGCTTGGGTATCTGTTGCACCCTTGCCTACCTCAGGGCAGCGGGGAGAGAAGCGACTCTTGGCTCCTAGTGTCTCATCCTTCTCGAAATTAGTCGTGGTCTCTTCTATTCACTCCTCCCAATCTCCCCCCTCCCTCCATCCCTTCATCTCTAGAGTGACAAGTTCTGCATCCACTTTCCCAACCCCCATCCTCAGGAGGAGATAGGAGATGTTTGGCCATGCTTTTCTCCGATAATGATGGGGACTGACTATGTCTGCAGGCTATCTGTCCCTTCCCGACCTGCCCAGGCGGGCAGTGACTCTGTCGAGCTGTCTCCCCTGTTGCTCCTTTGGTACCAGGGCTTCCTAAGTTACAAAGTTCAGGGAAGGAGAAGTGGTGGCTGGGAGGACAAGGAAGAGCTTGTTGCTGGGGTAACATGAGGCACCCTGTTGTGGTCCAGGACTGGATCCGGGAGTCTCCTGGCTGGCGTCCCGCTGGGGAGGTCTCGCGGAGCAAGGGGTGCGGGAAACAGGCGCACCGGCCTCTGGCCACCTGCAGCGCTGACTCGTAGAGGTCGCAGTTTGCCCCTGCTTTCGCTGGGGCAGTGGCCGAGAGGTGTCTGCAGCGCTGCGGAGACGTGGAAGTCGGCTCGGCAGCATGCGCTGGGAGGACAGCTGTGGGAGGTTGGAGAGTGGGGTTGGGGGGACCTGAGCTTGGTGGAAGGGGCGGTGTTTGAAGTTGGGTTTCCCCCCAATGGGCCTGAGGCCCGGGGAGGCGGAGACTTACTGCGTCGTAGTGTTATATAAAATAGGACCACGACTTTGAGATGGGAAGGGGCGTGTTATTGAATATATTGGCTTGGTTTACAGCAGAGCGCTCTGATTTGGCGAGCTTCTTGCTTTTTCTCCCCAAGTCTTGCTTGTAGGAGCTTAGCTCCACTCTAGAGGTCATCAGGGGGACACAACTTATCTTGGTGCTTCAGCTTGCTTTTTAATTGCTCCTGAGTACTCAAATCACTTATTGGGAGGGGTGTAAAAACCATGATCCTTAATCTTTTGGAAGACGTTACTACAAAACACCCAGCATCTTCTATTTGAACCTGTAATATATGCATAACTATTCTTTTATAGTGTAGTTCCTTAAAAGTATTACAGCTCTTGTAAAATATTACAGCCTCTTACAGAAGAGGCCTTAAACCCCTTTTTCCCCCTCCTAGTGAATTAGTACATATTTATAGTGGTAAACCATTAAGCAAAGAATGAAAAATATATTCATCAACAGTTTCCTTACCATAATATCAAAGAATTAGTCTAAACCCAGATTGACAAGGTGCATTAGCTGCACTTATGGTTTGCTCCTTTTTTATAGAACCATATGGCACCATGAGCAAAACAGAGGGATTGTTTTTCAGCACTGCTGATGTGGCTATCTGTTGACAAGAGTACATTTCATACCCACCCCAAACCTTGCAGATTGTAAATGGTCCATGAAGAGTGGAAAAAATTTTACAGTTTTACAGTACATGCTTGTTGGAGACAATCTTATCCTTGAAATTTATCTTGTCAGCAGCACAAAAAGATGCAAACAAGATCAAATTAACGAGAAAAGAACTAATATATGATTTGATGGAAAAGACACATCCTTTTTACTCCACCCAAAAAAACGCCAAGAAGTTTTTGTTATGGATGCCAAGATAGGATTGTGTATATTTCCTTAAATTTAATTTTATAGTGAAATAATTGAAGAATAGAGGTTAATAGAGTTTTGTCACTAAAGTGTTAACTGTTCCTCTGGAAAAATTCATGATCAAGTTTTCCTAGAATATGTGGTCTCTGGTCTCAAGAAATTTCATTGTATGTAGTTCTTTAAAAATAAGGTTTTCTCATACTACATGTTTTTCTTGAAGTTGCTCTTACTGTGTGTTTTTTTCTCTCTAATATTGAGTTTATTACTGTTAACAAGTTTAATGTTTCTTAGAATGAAAGATACATTAAAAAAATTTGTGATGTTTCAGTATAGCAGGATTAGTGGTGATATCTTATAGATAACACAAGCAAACCCAGGAAGTTGTAATCCATTGACGTGCCTCAATTTTGCCTTTTAAGAGGAGAGCTCTATAAAAACATCTGACTGCAGGCTTGCTGAACTGTTCTCAGACATCTGCTTTTAAGCTACAACCGACTAAGCAGGGAATACCTGGTAGAAAACCAAATTGCTAAATTGCTAAGCTCTTTTTTCTTTTTTGGGGGTTGGGGGAGGTTGCTGGGGTGAACTTTGCTGGATAATAAACTACAGGTTTAGCAATATTCCATGCTGTGTTGGTTATCTTCTTACTGCTTCTCTGCTTAGCTACACTGCATGTGGGGAGAGATCATTCGCCGGAGCATGTGACAGGCAAGTTGCTCATTGGCTTCTGAAGTCCTAGCAATAGATGCTACATATCTAGAAGAGTTGGCAGAAGGGAAATGCAGTTCCTTAACTCAACAGAAGAATAAGATGAATTGGCAGTATTTATAAACGGATAGTAGCATTCATTTGTGACATCTCATCAAATGCACAGCTTTTCAAAAACGCAAATGGAATATTTATCAGTGCAGCATTTATAAATTTTTAGTGGAAAAATGCTGTAATCCATGATCAACAAAAGTCTTATAAACATGTTAGTTACAGTGATATGAACATACACACACACCCCACCCTGCTTTTTCAACATTATTACAAGAAATTCCTATTCAATTACTTAAGTTTAAAGGTTAAGTTATGCTTGGATTCATCTATTCATACATTCATTCAGCATATATTTACGGAACACTGAATATGTAGCAGGTTCTGTGCAAAGCACTAGTTATGCAGTGATGAAAATGAGAGACAAGAGTACATTAGGAGAGACCGGGAAAGAGCAGTTACACAAATGCATGAATGAAAACATTTCACAGTGATGAATACCATGAAGAAAAATAGGATGGTTGTGGTTGTGGGCTTACTTTAGAATACCTGATGACATGACATTTAAGCTGGGAACCAAATGATGAAGAGTAATTTGCATACCAAGAATGATAACATAGCACTACAGGCCTTAAGGTAGGAATGAGGTTGCAGCTTGGCAAGTTCAAGTGCAGAAGGAAGGCCAGTGTGCCTGGAGTGTAGTATACAGAGGAAGGTAGGGAGAGGCCAGATCATTTTGACCCTAATCAGGAATGGAGATTTTATTTTAAGTTAAGTGGGAAACCAATTGAATGCTCATTTAATGTTCAGGGTTATGTTCCTGTCCTTGAGGATGATATCAGGGAGAATAGTTTTCCTACCTCAGTTCCCTTGGCCAAGTAAAGCTACCCAATGGACTTCAAGTTCCAAAAGGTCTAATAATACTCATATATCCCCTCTTATTATTCACCAAAATACAATGTTTTGGGCTGAGATGTTGATAGCATTTCTAGGAATCTCTGCTTAAAAAACAATTCTAAAGAGAATGAGGACTAAGTCAACATTTTAACAAAGCTTATCAGGTTAGTCATCCATCTAGCAATCCTCTTAAAGCAGGTAAGTCTTAGGAAAAGCATATTATAATGTTAGAAGGCAGGATTATAAAGAGTCTGGAACATGACTGTGCAGTTGGCAGAATGTGGAAGGCAGCACGAGGGGCTCCTAGGTAATGGAAAGGTCTCCATGAAAGAAGAGTGATGCTGGGAAAGGAGACATGGAAAACCTTTACGACAACATCAGCCAATTTGTGATGTTGGCAAAAGAAGCAGAATCCTCATGTGAGAGGTTTCCAAGAGAAGCACTCTAATTCAAGCAAAAAGGAAATTCAGATCAGGGTAGCTTTATGTTTTTGGCTGATCTTTGGAAGCATTTATAACAATAAAAGCATATAGGCTTTGGAAAGATATCTTTGATTTTACTTAATAATTACTAAGTGGTTCTTATGGATTATAGATCTCACAGATGAAAATAGCATGAAAGAATCCATGATAAAACCTGACATTTGTTGAAGGTGGCTGCTTGACAGCCAGTTAGCAGAGAAATTATGCTCTTTGGTCTCTGATTTTACTGTGGAGATGTTGCAGGGGAAATGGGGTCTGTTGGCTGATTTTCTGTCTCCAAAGCATTTGTGACTAGAAGATGCCATGATATTTAGGGAAGATACAAGTAATAATTACTTTAAAACTCCCCACTGCCTTCTCCCTTCTTCCAAGCTGTCTACTTCTTTGATGAAGATTAATAATGAAGACACTAAGCATTTTTGTAGCTTCAGAACTTTGTTTAGTCCCTTCTTCCTCTTTCTTTATATTATAAGTCTCTCTTCTGAGACCAGCAAGGCTGATAATACCTCAGGGATTAGGTAACTAAGAATGGACCTGGCTCTTAGTGATGATGTAACACAGTGTCTTTATGACATCAGCTTTTCTTCATAGTATTGAGAGTTGCAGTGTGTTAGAGGAGGAAGGAAGCCTCAGTGTTTATAGAGCTTTTGGAGGAATGATACAGTAAGAGGTGAGTGATGCTGCCAGATATGAATAGTCTATGTCAAGTTTATTATTCTTAAATACATGTTCTATATAAGCCAAAATATATATTATGATTCTTATTTATATTTCATATATATGTATAATTTGAATTTATCTATCATTTTGAGTTTGGTTGGATTGACTATGCATTAAGACATACTCTATATAAGTTTATATATATATTATATATATAAGTAATATTGATATATATAAAATAGAGTTTATCTCCCAACTTACATTCAGACCTCACTCTTAA